ACGTCTAGGTAAATGAACTTTTGACTTTTCGTAATAAAACGGTGTTCGTGACAGAGGCTTCAATATGACACCATTATCTGTTTTTAATGGATTGGCCTAATAAAGCTATAGTTATGCATAAAGTACAGTTGTGTTTCAGATAGTAACATGTTTGTTGTCTGTAACATGTATTAACTTCCGCCATTCATTAACATCCGAATCAAATATTTTAGGTGAGTCTTATGTCATGATTGTGTTTTTGTCTCGAGAAAATAGTTACCTTATTTTAATCTTTTTCGTGTCATACAAATGCTTAATACAGCAATTCAGAAACGTTATTTTTAACATCATGAATAGCTCATTGATGAAAAGTAGTTGCAAGTTCTATGTTATTTATGTTCTTAGAAAAAGCTTGTTGTTTAGAATTATTGAACATGTTCATGTACTCTAAGATCCTCTCTCTATCAGTTTCGTGTACTTTTCAGATTTTTCCTTTTTTAAAATGTTAGAAGTGCCGTTTGGTATATGCCAACACAACTGGAGTCTCGGATATTATGCATTTATAAAATACAAAATACCTAGTTGTATAGGTTCACCAGGTTGCAATTTTGAAAGTACTGTGTTATATACAAATTTAGAGAAATATCATATTTTGATATGATGTCGTGATATAATTCACAAGGGTTAGAACAATGCATTACCAAAAGGTGACATATGTTTTACATCAAAGCAAACAAGTTTGCATGGTATTGGCGATATAAAACGTTAATGTAATGTTCAATTAAAACGTTTTGTATAAGACTTTTGTAACCCAGGTTATGAAAATACTAAGGGTCCTGGTCAGACAATATTTTACAAAGTGAAAATAACTATCTGGAAATGTGGTGAATAAATAGCAATAGCTACTATATCATACAGGGGATGTATTGCTGATTTACATGTACCTTTGCTCTGCACATTATAAAACAAAACGCAAAGCAATTTCATAAACTGACATTCTCTCCGTGATGCTGTCATATCTTATAAAAAATGATTTCATTTTGTCTTTTATTTTGTCATGATCGGAGAAGGGTTATTTTCCCTTACATAATGTAATTGGTTCGCTGACATGTCTGGGGTACGAAATGTCAAAATGTACTTTTATATTTCATTTCTATAGTATTACCGCTGATGTTTATATTTTGGTCAATTTTTGAATGACAAGTAGGTACCTTAAACATTTAATTGGTCATACTTGACTAATTGAAGCTAAATAAGGTTTTCTTTCGGTGTATATATCTAGCAATCATTTTATTACGATATATTCATCATGTAAAATCATTTTATGACAATACTTCCATATGTCATTAAAATGAAACAAAATAAAACTATAATAACACTTAACCCCAAATCCCCTTCACAGCAACATCCGTGATAAGCCATGTATATGTATGTATGCTAACAAAATTGGATTTGTACATTTTTTTTTTATTTATTTATTTGAATTTAATGAGAATTGCAGTTATTGTAAGAACAAAAGACAAAAGCAATATTCAATCCGTTAAAGATATTTTAAAAAGTATTTTTACATAATTGTTGTTCATTCATTGTTTTCAGCAATTTCAGCAATTTCTAAATGTAAGAATCACTGAAGAGATTTTAATTTTATAAGTTATTTGCATCAACCTAGCCTTATAACTTCTATCTTACTATATTGTTTGGACATTTCAGTTTTGAAATGCTGCATAATGAATTAATTTATATGAAACACATCAAACTCAAATAATAGATTGAGAATCATGTTCAATGACCATACATTGTAGACTGTTAATTACGCGTGCGCATTGAAAAATTAGTGTGGCGTTTTGTTCTTTATGGCATATTTCTCGATTAAAATATCATAACTTTATTATTATAGTTATAAGTTACACTGCAATGATGAGTTTAAACTTGAATTACTCTCTATGCGAAGCGTTCGCGTAGTCGTTGCACGCCTTGCACTTGCGTCTTTTTACCCGCTCTTCAACGAAACCTAACGCTGTACTTTTTTAAAAAAAATTTAAACATTCTTAGCCTATTCATATAATAAAACAATTAATGACTAGTGAGCCATTGAATATGACGTGATGTTCACCGGCAGAAAGTCATATTGACCGAGGCGATGTCACCTGCAGGTGAATATCACATCATATGCAATTGCACACTTGCCAATAATTGTATAATAACAGACAAACTAAAAATTCAAGACGAATATATTCTATAACGGTTATGTCTTTAAAAAGATAAGTTATTTCTGTTTCTTCACCACATTTTCCAATTTTAATAACTTTAATCTAGAAATGGATTTTAGTCTTTACATATAGTGTTAGCAAAATAAGAAAGAAAAACCCACCTCCAACTCCCGTTAAGTATGCGTTTTTGGTGTCATTAACATTTTGTCATTATTCATGGTCACTATATAATGTTGATGTTGGCATTTAAACATATCTTGTTAGTTGATAAAAAATCACTGTTTTCGTAATCAAATAACAATATCTAACGGTAAATGTTGACTATAAAAATATTGTTTACACAATATATACAAAGCTAGACAAAAATATTTTATTCGTTGGACGTATGAGTTGTAGTATGTACGTGTTGACATGATACACATTCATCAATAACAAAGAAAACATATGTTTGTTTGCAGAACTCAATCTCAACTGTTCTGTTAAAATCTTTGACGTGATAAAAGATATTTTCGTCTAGACACTTGCTGTCAATAAATATCATAATAAATAAGAATTGAATGACATGTTAGGCACTTATTCAAATGGAGACAGTGTCTCATTAGGTGAGTGGTGTACTTCTGAATTAATTTTTAAAGCTCTAGCTAAACTGAAAATGCGCTAAGTACAGCGTTTGAGTCTTCTCTATGGTAGGCCATATTAATTTATTTTCAAGTCAATGAAATTGATGTAATCATTTCATATGATGTTTTACTAACACTTGTAAAGGTTTGTCGAATCTATATATTTTTCAATATAACTTTGAAAATGAAAAATGCATTATGAAAATTTACGCACTATTTTTGATAGAAAGAAACCATAGATAAAGATCCTGTTTTTAGTTACATATTTTATAAGATGATATCAATTTCCAAACGATAAACAATAAGACCACAACAATCAAAATTAAATGCATCTATCAACTGTTATTATGCCTGATTAATTGATATCTGGAAAAAAAGAGATCCCTCGGAAGCATTAAAATCAGCAAAACTGAGATAAGACTATAACTGTTCTTTTGTTTTGTGTCGGCATGATTCGGTAAGATTATATATTGTTCGCTTTTGTCTGAGACTGAATCACAAGGGCTCTTAGATAATTTAAAGCTTCTGCATTGTCCATTGCACTTTTTATTGACCGAAAATACTTAAACGGAAAATATTCTTAAGTTTGTAATTTTGCCGGCTTGTATTTAGCCAATTAATTTATTCAATAAATATAAAATTTGTGCACATGTATACAATGACTTTAAGATAATAATAGAGGGTAAGCGCAGGAACATCTGCAGAAGCACGTTTTAATTAGTTCGAGGGTTTTTAAGATGTAAATGCACGCACGAAAGAAAGTGTACATAAGCGATGTTCTTGCATCAAAGTATTCGTCTTAATCGGTATTTCTGCAGTTCGCTTAAAGAAACTAATGTGCTAATGCGATCTCATTTGACAGTTATATTAGGTTTCGATAATAAAACTACCACATTACGTCCTGAATCTATCTCTCATATTAGATAAATGTGCAACATCGGCAAGTGGTCACAGCAGTCTATCCGTTAATGCATGTTTCCAACCTAAAAAAGAATGTTGTTTAAATGTAGAATTACATGTGATAATTCAAACCGCTATATTTTATCAAGATTTAAGATTTCTTTTGAATTACAAGATCCCTTAATCTTAAAGAATGAAATATAGACTGATGTTTGCAATTATTAAGAATCTTATCTTATCCAGATGTTAAATGAATTCACTATTTTATCATTTTATAATGTTAAAGAATATCTGCTACATTACCATAATGTTAGTTGAAAAAGTGTGTGTCCCTTTAGGCCAAAGTATTTTTTTATTAAAGTTAATTAAACGTTTCCTTCTATTTTATCCTATCTTCTCTAATTTCGTTTAAAATCGGCTTTTGCAATTACCACCACTCTTATATACCTTAAGGTTCTTTGTGGTTGTAATCTTTGATTAACTAGCCTTTCCTCCTATCTAAATGTTCATTGATCCCACTTCTCCATTGTTTGTCTTGTTCTGGTTGGTGCCTTGTGCGACAGTAGAATGCAGAGGTTGCTATTCCTGAATGTAAGTCTCCCATGATGATCTTGGATCTCGTTATTGATACTTAAACTACACCCCTCCCCATCCCCCAAAAAATAAAATAACTAAATATATAAATCATGAGACTGATTTATAGCATAATACACACATGCACTTGAAATACAACTACAGATGTCGATGCATGTCTAGACAAAAGTGCTGTCTTGTCGGATATGAACACATTTGATTGATTACCAAACAATGTCTAAGCAAATACACTTATGCTTTTTCAGTTGATAAATTTCATAAATTCGTTCTTGCCAAAAGCGTAGAAACTTTATGAAATAAATATAATGTGATCAAAGTTTTTCCTATGACATTTTGATTTATTATTGTTTCAGTTATTTCTGTAAGTAAATTTCATTATAAATATTACAGTAGGTAAGGGCATATAGGTAATTAGCCGTTACAATTTGAAGGATATATAACTGGCTGCCATTTATAAATATAACGGTATCTTAGGACAATATTGCGAGTATTAACATAACTGTTTGTTAGGATATATAAGTGATTGCTATATAGTATAAATGTATTGAAACATATAATATATAAGTGATTTCTTCAAAGGTTGTTAATTGCAATAAATTGGAAAACTATGGGGATGAAAACAAAACATTTTTTGACCTTCAGGCAATATAAGAGATTAAAATAATAGTATCTTAAAACATTAAATTATTTTCTTTTATTGTGCATATTTTACAAAATAATCACATAATATAGCTCTTATAATATAAACAAATAAAATTTTCACAACTGATAGCATATAATTCACAATTGTTTTTGTATGCATAAATTCAATCACAACAAAAGTCGTATATTTGTGTTATAATATAGCTAGATAACATATCCAATAAGAAACATTAAACACAAGGAATGTTCCGGGAAATAGATATCTGCACCATACGTCAATGTTACTAGCACTATTTCCTGCCTCAGCGTTCCCTCGTTCCCGGAGCTTTGTCCTATATTTTAGATTGCCTGTCAGACATTTGAAAAATAAATTACTAAATGAACTTTCTTTTTTCCGTCTATTCCTGGTTTTTCGATGTGAAGTTGTACCTTGAAATGCTTCTGTCGTCGGCTGAACATCAGATAACGGAACTGATTGTCCATTTGATGTATCCTGGGAAAACAATTCTTATAATTCAGTTTTTATTTGAAAATCGATAGTCAAGACCATGTACTTTGCAACATTTTGAAGAGTAATGTGTTGTATTACCAATATTGCTAAGGTGTGATAATATGAAAATAGTTTTTTTAATTGATTAAATTAATTTTAACTGCTCCTGCCTCCTTCATGTTAGACAATTTATATGCATTAACATCAGTTTGCAATTTGTCACAAATATATGTTTAAAAGTATATAAAGTTTCTAGTCATTGGTAAAAAAACAAAACAAATTAATATTGTAAAATAAAGCGTAAATACTGTTTTCTAATTTCAAAACATACGATTCAACAATCGGCAAATACAAACAAAAATTCGTAAAAAATATGTCTGTTCTTCGTTTATATACTGATTCATGAATTTTACTAACTTGATAAAGGTATACTCTCACTGATTGATCTGGAGGTGCAAGGGGGACTATTTCCTCTTCGTCTTCGTCGGAACTCACTCCACCGTCTACCGGTAAAACTTTTGTAAAGTAGTTCACAGCAGCGTATTCTATCATTGCCGCCATTTCATAAAGAACACAAGCATTAAGATAGGTATCCAAAGCTGTCGCATATGACACTCTTGGAAGACCTTCCCGAACAGTCATTCCGATACCCGCTGTTGCTAGAATCGTTGTTACACCTGAAGAGAGCAATTGCCAGTAGGGTTCATTTTAAAAAAGAGATAATAAGAATCCCTAAAGAAAGCCCAAAACGGCAAAATTGAAAATGTTGCAGACTCGGATGGACGGTACTGTCAAGTGCAACTATCGTCTTGGCTCCCTAGCACTGGCTTAAACAGAATTCAATATTTTCACTGGCTTAAGCAGAATTCAATATTTTACATGAAATGGAATAATTTTGAATTTAGAAACATCCAAGATGAATAGAGACGATATAAAATTGTCACGATCTAGAAACGATACAATTTTGGGAAAATATTTAATGCTACCATTGCAACAAAATGTGTGAAATGTTTGAAATATCTTGTATTGTATAATATTTTCTTGTTTTCTGTTATGCTTTTTATATATATTATACTTATATTTTATTACATGAACATATAAATAAAAATATGGTAACCGACAACAATATAATATGACAACTGCAGACTTGGTTTGACTGAGTCGGTTTATGTAAGAAACATATGTAAGTTTTACCTAAAAGTACACGCGCCGGCGCCGCATCACGGTTTATCCAGAAGGAAACCCAAGATAGGCACGTGATCATACTGCATGGAAGATATGTTTGGAGAACAAAAAAACCTAAATGTCGTTCAAAATAAATATACACTTTCAAAACAGAAAATGTCCCTGAAATGAAAATGATCATTTTTTAGCATAATGTATCTAAAAACAACTTTTTGTATTTAATTTATTTCTATCGTTATGTTTATCGTTATGTTTATTTCAAGATAATTAAAGCAAAACAGACCAAATAAATATTGAAGAAATATATATTAAATGAAAATCTGAAAGATCATCAGATATTGAAAATTAAAACAAAAATGTTGCAGACTAGATTTGATTAGAAATGACAGTGGTAAATGAAAAACTATTTAAACTTATATGGATACTGTTAAATTGTTTAAATTTTAGTTAAGTGTTCGGAAAAAAAACCCACTAAAATATATGTTAAATAAATCAAATGAAACTTATGTAACAATAACTGCGTTTTCCGTCTCGTTTGTTAATAATTCATACTAGTGTAAATGTACGAAAATGATAAATTACCGAATACTGTATTATCCGTATGATTGCTTGACCTTACAGAAATGAGATCAAACTGTGCAAGACGTACATCTTTATTGACTTCTACAGAAATGTTATTGCCGTACTTCCATAAGTATACTATATCGTCTGTTGTATATCCGTCTATAAACAAAGGGAAGACAAGAAATATAGACATAGACTATATGTATTACTATGCAGAAATTAACAAACAAGTGTTCTATACATTTTTTTATAACTGAATATATTTAGTATGATAGGAAACCTTACATAGTGTCATTTCCTTTGCTGCACTTACAAATCAATACATTAGATTAGTTCGGACCTTCAGAAACTTTCAAATTAGCGAAAACGTAACAGAATCGGATTGATTGAGCCTTTTCATGGACGGCATTTGCTTATGCAATCTAGACTACATGCTACCCAGCACAGTCTTTGCGAGGCGAAATTTTCTCCTCGGACATTCTTTTGCTCATTGGTCACTCAACTCTGGTTCAGAAGTCTTGTGGAATTAGAAGTCGGTGACTAAGAGAAATTAGTTATCACTGTTAAGTAAACTAGAAAAGTCTTAAAATGTGGTTATGTCGGCGCGTAAAACCCAACCTAACCAAACAAATAGAAAGAGTTAACAGGTACTGACCAATTGGTCAACACTTTTTTGTTTCAATGATAACTCGTTTTTTAGCATACTCACAACTTCCTAATACAAGAGAGCAAATTGGTCTGTCCATTGGATAAAGATTTAGTTTCATTGGACACGCCGCTTTTACAGTTAGTCTGAAAGGAACATTAACCATATAAAAACGTAAAGAAAGTTATTTAAGTTTATGAATTAAACAAAGGCTATTTGTTTGTAATCTAGCCAATACAAAAAAAGATATATTTAACAACTGAAATAACTTTATCCTCTATTCCTTTCCAAATCCTTTAAAATGCATGTTTAGTAACTCTTTGTCACACCATATATTTGCTACTTATAAGATCACATTATATGCTCTACACACTTTATTAGGCGACACCAACGCCATCAGATTCAGATATCAGACTTTAAAGCCTAGAAATCAATATAATGAAATATAATAATAACATTTTTTAATGAAAATTACTTAGTCGTTATTTTGTATTTATATAAAATGTTCCTTTTGCAACCATTTAATTATTATTAAGTAGTACCTTCTGGACAAATATACTCGTCCATCGCTTCTTATACGTACGAAAAGATTTGGTCTGGGAATATTATGCTGGTGTGATTTCTGGCCGTTTAGGAAATATGTATTTGGTTTCCAGATATTCTCCAAGAACAAATTATTAAGCGTCACTTCACTGATGTTTCTAATGTCAAACTGTAACCTCTCGTCTGTCCATCTTTGTCTGAAGTAACACTGAAAGGAGTAGTCCTGAAAAAAAGAACAGATTGTCGTCTGATAAAGAGAGGGCACTATATTGATAAAAGAATCTATGCAGATAAAAGAGTGCACTTTATTGATAAGGTATCCCAAGGCAGATAAAAGATAAAAGGAGGACACTATAGTGATATTATTCTTAAACAAGTAAAAGGAGTACACTCTTTTGATAAAATAATCCTAGGTAGATAATATGAGTGCATGAAATTATTAAGATATTCTTAGGCAGATAAAATGAGTACACTTTATTGTAAAATATGCATAGGCAGTAAAATGAGTGCCTTTATTGATAAAATATTCTTAGGCAGATTAAATTAGTGCACGATATTGATACCATATTCTTACTAGGTAGACAAAGTGTTCCCTGGCAGATAAATTGAGTAAAATATTCTTAGACAGTTAATTGAGTGGTCTATATTGATGAAATATCTATTGGCAGATAAAGTCAATGCACTATATTTATACAATATTCTTAGGCTGATTAAAGAAGTATACTACATTGACAAATTATTTCTGGACAGATGACCGGAAATACTGTAAATCATGACAAAAGAAAGTGCAGATCATACTCGATTATAATTTTCTTTTAGTTTAGCATTGTCAATAAGTACTTCATCATAAACGTTGTTATTTAATATATTTGATAGCTATAATTTGAAATAAAATCTTGTTATGGTTGTGTAAACATTAAATAAACGATGCGCAAAAATAATGATATTCTTAAAACATAAAGGTACATTCTATTCAGGATTGTACAAACGCTTGTGAAAAGTATGTACGATCAGGAAAACTTTGAAATATTGATAGAAAATGTTTTATGTTTAACTTACCATGTCGCTTTCTGAAATCTGACCAATACTTCTTATCAGTATATCTGTTTCAATCACAAGTGGTGGACCTTAAAAAATGCAAATAATTTATGTGTTATATATTATCTCAATGATTCATTAAATCTGTTTTAGCCACAAGTGGTGGGCCTCAGAAATTAAATTAAAATGCTATAAAGTGATTTCAAAACTCATTTCATAACACTACACATATTATTTATTCAATTCGTGAGAGACTAAAAGCATAGCGTAATGTGACAGTAATAAGAAATCAAAAATATTTTCTAAGTACGACATTATTATCTGCCTGAAACACAAGTAGCGGACATTAAAACAATTAAACGTATTTAAAAATGTCCCGGTGTTATTTACCGCACATTTTTAGAAGATAAAAGATTATTTTATCTGAGTAAATATTGTCTATTAAATATTCTATAATTTTACAGATACACGATAGTTCAATCAAACCAAGACATCTTTCCTGTTTTGCTGCTTTAGTTGCTTTTAAGGTATTTCATTTATTCAAGTGTATCTATACATTGATTCTTTCCTGAGTATTACACTATATTTTTGTATTTTCTGACGCAGTCAGGAAATACAATGCTGACATTCAATCTCTGGCACAGAATTTCACGACAGACCTAACAACAAGTAGTTCTCAAAACAGTTTAAAACTAGCGATGTAAAAGAAAGAAATATTTTTATTTTATTACAAGTATCCAACAAATTACAACGCATTCAAAGTTTAAAAGTAGCGTTGGCTTATAGAATTGACAATAAATGCACAATCACAAATTACGCGGATGAATATCATTTTAATCAATGAAAATGCTATTTTTAGCGATGTTGATTACTGAATACTTCATAGCGTAGTACACAAATAAATCTGACTGTCGAGTAGTGAAATATATACATGTCAGACTGTTTTGGCTAGAAGATTTTCGCCAAATTATTTACATCAGTATTAAACAACAGGTTTATTGTGAACAAAATACATCAAAACTAATAATTTTAAAGATTACAAACCCGAAATGGAAATACTAAATTCAGAATTGTTTGATTTTATTCAGGCTTTCTTCGTGTAACTTCCCCGTGGTACAGGGGTAACGCGCTCGTTTAGGGTGTGAGAGGTCAGGGGTTCAAATCCCAGTCGAAGCAACTATTTTTTTAAGTGTCTTTTTTAAGAAAGTAGACACGATATGCAATGATAATGTGTGGCTGTCATAAAAAATGAACATAAATTATTTTTTTGATGCAACTCTAGTCATGCAAAATTCTGTATGTATCAAACTCAAACTGTTATAGTAAAAAATCTAAACGCAGTCGCTGCATCTCGGTGCCCTGTAAGATGAATTAATTTATAGTATATAAAAATAAACTTATACAGGAAAATACATACAGATGTACTGTACAGTACGATTTAGATTGCAAAGATCAGAAAATACCACAGAGCTTTCAGCCCTTTGATTGTTACATTAAATGTATTTTAATTTAAAACCATCGCTGTTATACTTGTATTAAACTACAATGGCGGCACTAAAATCAGGTGCAAATGTTAAAATTAGATACAGATGTGTTAAATATATCAACGGAATATATCAATCTATAGCTCAAAGAGGATACATTATTGCTTGGCTTTGATTTACTTTATATAGACAATGTCTACATTTTCTTTGTTAATTAAATCGACATTCATCTAGTTCTATATATCAAGAACAGAAACTCCTTGGGATCGTTAGAATAGAAGCGTAATAGTATTGGTTTCCTCTGTATTCAGTTTCATAAACTAGGAAACTAACATTAAACACTGAAGAACAAGACCTCTTAGAGTCAACCAAACGCTTTGCCTTTCCAAGGGGTGTTGTATTGCAGCGGTTGTACTGTATCTTCAGTTGATCATACGTTAATTATTAGTTAATGTGTCACTCCGGCATAAGATTAGACCACCTCCGTTGTAGTTTAGTAAATAGTTCTTTAACATTTTAAAGTGCCCCAATGTAAGTCGTCCATAATTTGACATGTTATATTTAAAGTATTTTTTATTGAATCTGTTTAGTTATAGTGCGTTATATGGTGACTTTAAAAGCTGTTTTATGTATTCCCGAGGACACATTTTCTGAGTGAAAGGATGAAAGATGTGCTATTCGCCAGCAGACAGACATTTTTTAAAATTGACAATTTAAACTGTGCTAAACAGGATGAAATTACCTGGAGAAATGAAAGTTGCAAACATGATATTTGGTTCTCATTTGGCTTTGTAAGTGTTAATGTTTAAAGTTTAAGGTATAAAAGATAGTCGAATCCGAAATTAATCCTCAAATGTGACTAGTTAACTATATAACACAGAGTACGCAAATTGACCAGGCCGAGTAAAACAGTGGTCCTTTACTTTTTAATTGCAATTAAAAAATACCGCGTGAAGAAAGTGGCAAAATTATTTCAATCTCAAACCACGAAATCTTCAATCAATTTAAATCAGCTTTAAATCATACATTAGTTATATCGCATTGAAAAACTTCTATAACTTTAGCGTATATATGATTTTTCTTGGAGTATTATTTGTGTCGTTGCCTGTGTTATAATAGAATAATTATTATTCTGATCGGACTTCTATCGCCTTAATCATTATTTATTGACTTAATTCTGCTGTCAAAGAGCACAACAAGTAATGGAAAATTGTCAGTTTATGTTATCTGTTTTGTCGCCAAAGGAAACGAGCGGCGACACGAATTGCATATTAATGTTTTCTTTCAAAAGTACGACTGCCGGCCTGAAATACCGAATATAACATTTCTCTTGTATAGTCCTATGAATTTATTATTTTAATCACGATTGTTATTGTTTTGTATAGATTGTTTTATATTTACTAGATTATTGTTTGTCTTATTTTGTATGTCAAGATTTTTTATTATTGAATATTACAATTATAGGATGAACATTCAACACATGATAATATGAGGTGATCATTTTTGTTGAGAATTCAAGAGTTGTTGAAACTACCACAAAAAATGTGCGACGTAAATTTTGTAGAATTTTCAGAAAACAGTCACTATTCTTATACATGTATATATAATTTTCTACTTTTTGAACTTATAACCTCCTTTACACATTTAATGTTTTTAATAGATGTTTTGTCGTGTTTAACATATTGTTTAAACTATGTTAACTTGTCATGCTTGAATGAGATTGCTCATATTATTGTAAGATTGTAGAGGGATGACCTCCGACCCTTTTTTAGTCATGTGACGGAGGCAATAAACGGGTCTAAAACAATTTTGTTGTTGAGTATAATTCTATTTAGGTTACGTGACTACTTTCCAAATTTTCGAGCGGGAACAAGGGAAATACAAGCTTGGACATTGCTGTTATTTTAATAAAAAGCGGATTTCAGCTATATTTCGGAATACAAATTTACAGTGTGCTGTTAGGCAAGTAGTTCGAATTTCAGTGACATATATTATTCTTTAATCATTGTGTTTTCTCTCCATTCATGAGAAAAATAATCTACAAACCTCCAAACCCGGGTCTTATTTCTTTGCGGTAACCAGTCAGTAACTTGTCTAAAACATCTGTTGTATTTTCTGCATAGGTTGGAAACTGTGACCATGCATATCTGTAAATATACAATATAAATGATAAATGAATTATACTCATAACAATGAGTAGATGATAAAAGCTGAATTAATAAACACAATGATTAAACCGATACAAATATCTGGACAATGTGTATAAAATGTAGGCAACATACGGAATTAAACTTAATTTTTCATGTTAAAACCTTTTTATAAACACATAGAAAAAATGTCTATATAAGTTTTTAGAATATCCCTTAAAAAAATTAAAAAATTGAAAAACATTTTTTTACGCAATGATGATGAACTTCAATAGTCAAAAAGAAAGCAGCCCATAAAGGTCTCTAAACATGATAAAACTAAAAGTACTACAAACAAGGTTTGATTGAGCCTGTTCATTGACGTCCCCACGCCCAAAGCGGAACTCATATCCGAAATATTGTAATACTGTTGTAAGCGACAACATTGCGTAAGGAAATTGGCTTCCCTTATGTTAGAACAAGCCATACTTAAATTCTTCTTGTTTGTCTTCCAATATATACATTTAATAACATTAATAACAAACGGCATGATATATCATATTTTATGATAACAATTATGCACGGAAGCAAAACCAAAGATAGTTTATTTAAAGCGGAACGTGAAACTGCACTTGGTTTATTATATTACAGTAATTGCTTGTCTAGACAAGCGTACCCATCTATCATTGTCGAACTGGGTTTGATTAAGCAAGTATACAATATCATAAGAAAACAGGAATAGGTTTTGTAATTTATAATTTTATAGGTTTGTGTATATTTGCATATATAGAATCATAAGAATATATGATTGCAAAATACGCCAAAGATATTTGGCTTTTCTGTGTTGTTTACTTGTATAGAGCAATACTCCCGATCATATAACTTTTGATCCTGACAGACAACATAGAAGTTTGAATTCCGCATAAGCCGGTGCTAGGGTGCATTGAATACCGCATAAACCGGTGCTGAGGGGCATAAGAAATGTGGCACATTTACATTGTCTCCCTTGTTCAGACGCATCAAACAAGTGTGCTATTTTCATATAATATTGTTGTTTTATTGCATTCGATGGATCACACATTTTCCAGATTTGTGTATATTCTTAAAAGATAAATGGAAATTAAACCTGATAAGAATGATAGTATTCCGGTCCAAAAAACATCTTTAAATAAATCACATATTATGAAAACAACGTAATTCTGTTGTAAAACGATGTACGTAATTTGATTTGATACAAATAATTGTCTATGTGTTACTTAATTTTCTTTTATGAGTTTCCAATCATATCTTACAGTTTAATAACCAATAAAATAAAACAATTACAGTATCATTAACGAACTGAAGAACGAATGAACGAATTAATGAAAATTATGTGACTGCGTTTTGACAATCCTGATAACTGGTAAGACAATTATTACTTGTTTTTAATTTTATGATTCTATTTACTACAATTACAGCTGAAAATTGTGTTTCTATCATATTTCTATAGTGATATGATCATAACAACTCTGTTAAGCAATTGTGTCATTAACAAATTTAAAAAGGTATGAAATAAAAACTTAAGTTTGATAATTTTCATTTTACATTTAAAATTTTCTGTCATTTTCATTAACTTAATAAAATATACTATCTACTGTTTTCTGTCTTATATCTACCAGTAGTGTTGATGTTAATTAAAACAAGTGTCTTGCCACTGTTAAGGTACATAATATTATCTGTGTAAATTATATTACAGAATGGCGTCATGTGATAAAAACCAAACAGCACCAAAACAGAACGCACAATGTCCTGATTTTATAAATAGAAAAATCTGTGTCAATTGACTGGCCAGTTATAATAATAGAAGTGTTAAGTATTAATAAAAAAGATTAATATTTTCTGCTTAAACTAGTATTGCATTTCAAAAATCGTAGTTATGAATTTGATATAGTCAGAAAATATTGTTAGGAAAATTGTAAACACATCAGAAACCGAAATATGACCATTACAAATGACATCAGATGACGAAATATGAATATGACTACCTGTATTTAAAATGACTAAATGTACCAGCAGATTTTTACATGACACTAGAAAGTATGATGATATTAAACGATATAAGATGACAAACTATGACAATTCAAATAATATGAGATGCAGAACTACTCCAGAACTATGGTAATTCATTATTGGGTGCCAATTGCTTACAATTCCAGTGATATTAGATGCCGAACAATGACAACTTAAATGATATTAGATGCCAAACTGTGACAATTCAAATAAAAAAATATAAGATGCCAAAATATGACGTTTTACCTGTGTTGTTATATGTTTATTTAAAACAACAAATAATATTACACACTGGTATTTCATATATTATATTATATAAGACTCATTACTTATGTTAAAGAAGGAAAGGATATTTCCTTTCTGGGACATGATTTGGCCTTATTTAAATAAAGTTTATACAAAATCTGATCTGTCAGATTCCGATTAAGAATAAGTATCTTTTTTTAAAATAAAACTCTTGTTTTTCAGTTAAACATGACGTTGTGGTTTGCTGAAATTCATTTTAAAATTCTTTAAGTAGAAAAAATGTTGAAGTTATTTTGAGCATGCAGTGTTTTTATTGCCTCATTTAAAATTGGATAATCTTTTTTTTTAATATGACATTGCAATAATATGAAAACGTGTGTATTACAGAAGGCACATTGGCGCCAATCTTAATTCGTTTTAAAATAAAATATGAAAATATAATCACCTTTAACATATTGACGGTTGTAACAATGTTATTTTATTAATGTTTATGAAATACTATAAATATTATATTGGTTAATCATAGTAAAAACATATGTTTCAATCATATCTACGAAATGCTATCTGAAATCATTTTTTACAATGTCTCCTTAGTTTGTGTTCAGTTTAGTAGAGGGTTGGTTCATTAGACTTTGAATCACAACTTTATCAGTACTTATACTAGTAATTACAAAACATATAGAATTCCAAAGGTATGATAATTCTTGAATGTGAATTATAAAAGTATACACTACATTTTAATTATAAGAGTATATACAATATATTTATAAGAGTATATCCTATATAATAATTTATAATAGCATATACAATACATTATAAAATTGTTAACTATATAATTATAAGAGCATATACAATATAATTATAAGAGTATATACCATACAAGTATAAGAGTATTTACTATATGATTGTAAGGATAGGTACTACATATATAGTTATAGGTGATTATGAAGTTTTATACAATGACATTTCTTAAGACGAAATTGTTTACGTAAAAATGCAACCGAGGCACTGTAAGAAAACAGATCAAACATGTTTTATTTGTTAAGCAAATTGTTTTAAAAGTGTGAAACAAATGCTTTGTCTTTAAGCCAAAGGATGATTTCATAAAACTAATATTCAGTTTTATAAACACAAACGTCTGGTATAAAATATATAGTTTTTATGAAATTGATTAAATAGTTATACGTAAGCTTTTCTAAGCGAATAAAACGAGCGATAATGCACACACAATTGGTATGTCTCGAATAAGATAAATGGTCTTTTAAGTAATGTAAGAGACATGAACACAACTACTAGACAAGAAGTATATTTTTTCAGACACGTACAAATACGTTGGCGCCAAATAAGATACTTTATTAAGACAAAAACAGAAACACAATATACTCTTGTGAAATCATTTTAATTAGACACTTTCTGTATTTCTGCTTTTGTAATTATGATGACTTGCGTTATTCTTTAGTTAGTTTTTGTTGTGTCTGTGTGGGGGTGGTTGTGGGGGTTTCTTTAGATTGTGCAGTTTTATTATTACAAAAATAGTTAATCCTTCTGCTAAGTCTATAATAAATAACAGTATGTGTATAAATCTAACAAATATACGCCAAAGTCTGTTTTAACTTTTCTTATCCTTACATAATCTTGATTTGAAATTCTTTAAATATCAGAAGAATTGTATACGTTGTAGAATTACGAAAATGCTATATTTCCGATCAGAAAACATAACTTTGATTAAACCAGAATAGATGCATGCATTGCGAATGTTATTGTTATACATTAGGTTGCTACAGCAATTATGTAGATGAGGAAAGTCTACAGTCATCCGTAAGAATGAATGTATTACATTCCGACATGCTTTCAAATATCAATAAAGATATGCAAATAGCTCCTCATTTAATCAGACAGACTTAAACACAAGTCCTCCCAATAACTTGAAAGGATGGTCTAAAATAGAAACTGGAAATAGAGATAAAAGTGCAAAAACGGGTGTATACAGAATTGACAGAAAGAGTACAGTAAATATAAGCTGTGGACAAAGCTAGCCTTATTCTAGCTTTTATGGCGTTTTTCTTACGAAACCCTCACTTTTCTTACTGTTATAGTAGAATTCGATTAATTAATATTTCTACATGTGTAGTTTCTATATTGTATTAATTTGCATAATATTGATGTATGTACTATTCTTTGCACATGTTAAAGTATTGTTGGTTAAAATAATAAATAGAGGCCATACCTTATATTATGGTATGGCCATTAAACACAATTTGATAGTTTGTTATCCTCGCGTGGCTGTTCATAAATGAAGTTATTCCAAACAAAGTTCAGAAAAAACATACTTACAAATTTTAACGATTAATATATACATACCACCTAATGAAAAATCAACAATTCTGACATAAAATACAATGCATTTATTATAGATAACAGAAATGTGCTAGAAACAGGTGACAATACACCCGGTTAGATTGATTCTATTGATAAAAGCCAACGAAAAATGCACACTCTCTCAGGTTACCCGCCATCGCCTGAATCAGTATGAAGTGTTTTTTGTGTGTTATTTTTTTCAACTTCAAAAAATAAGAATCAGTGATCCCTAACTTAGCCCATTAAAATGTTTTGATATTAGCACTGCCTCGAATAGGCGATGTGAATTATTGCTTAACATGCATTTCATTTTTGTTTATTATGATATGTTTTGACACTAATTGTCTAGACAAAAATATCGTTCATCATATTTAAAGGTTGTTTGGAAAACATTTGGTATTGACTTAAGCGAACAGAGGTCCATGTTGTTATTGATGAATGTCTTGACTGTTGACACTAACATGCTAAATGTGTTAAGCAAAACCTTTAGCAACCTTTTTTATCCTATTCATTTGTCTTTTTGACCGAATTCACGAAATGTATCTAAAGAAAATGAACAGCACAGGAGAAATTATAACATACGTCATCGCAAAATTTGTTATCATGGGATTTCAAATCATGAAAGTTTATTGATATTCATGGATATGTTTACATTTATTTAGCAATAAATTATAGAATAATAATTTAAGCATCTAAAATCAGTATTATTTAATGAATGATTTAAGTATTAAAAACTTTCTATGAAGAAAACATAAATCATGCATGAAATGATGTCTATGAAAGTGGAGTAATTCATTTAATATTACCAGTAGGAGTTTTCATTTGACTGTCTATCATGTTTTCATTCAATTGCAATACATCATTTCTTAATTGATATGTCGTACTTAGAAAATAGACGCTTTGAAATCGACCGGTGTTTGCTCCGAATTCCATTTGAAATACTGAAAAATGAGTGACAAGTAATGATGCAGAACTTCTGCATATTGTTACAAAATTTGCAAGGATTTAAACGTGAAAAATAAAAATACTGAATCGCAAATATTTGTAACAATAATTAGAGAATCATTACAAGCATATAGTTTGTGTATGATTTTTTTCGTTTAATTCAAAATGGATATAGGGTTCCATTTCCATTTAATTTCCAAATAACTAATAACAAAAAGAGAGCATTTTCATTTTGGGAAAAATTGTTTAAGAGTGGACGCATTTTCCAAATAAGTGATGACATAAAACTTGATTTCGCGAATATTTTTGAGATCGTGAATGTTTAAATGGAAAAGAAAAACTAAAACTATAACCGTTAAAAATATACATTAAATCCATATATAATTACGTAACACAAAAAAGTGATATTTAAGATTCTCATTAGGACAATTGATGAGGATGAAAATTTGATGATGATGTTTATCCTTCAAATTGTCTACTTAAAGCTGATATTGCTGACCCTTACAGAACATCATACTGAACTGTTAATGGTTAAACTCTAAACCGTGATTTCAAATGATTTGCATGCATGTTTTACTTTTGAACAAACCGCAAATTTTGGCTTTGTAAGTTTGATATATTTCAATCAAATGAATTGTTTTGAGTAAACAATAAAGTGGTGCTCGATGGAATATTTGTGTTATGTGTATATATGTTTGACGTTGTTTTGCAAGATTATTAACCATTGTGGTGTGTAATGTCAAATATTTTAATATTTTAATCGTTATTTTACATATATTATATATATTTATATATATATGTCGCATTTGTCATACAAGGGTAAACAATTTTTATTACTACAAATTCTACTCGTATATCACACAACAATAATATTTATAATTCTCATTAGTATTATTAATATTATTAATGTGTTATTTATAGGTTTTTGGTATGTGTCTTACCACATATCAAAGTTCTTAAATCAACTTGATTGACATTAACGTATATATTCTTTACTATGGTATTAAATTTACATAATAATACTAAGTACAAGTCACGAAAACAGCCTATTTACATTAAAAAAAGAAATAACAAATGTGAACACAATATGCTGAAAAAAATGTAAAAAAATCGAAACATTATAACAATTGGTCAATAGAAAACATAAAATCATCCTACCTGAAACAGTGAAATAAAAGTAGCATCATCATGATTATGAACCTACTCCCGTTGCCTTACTTGTTACTACGAGTATGTGTGCTTCTTATTTATCCTTGTTCAATTAGACGATGTCCTTCTATTGTTCACTCATTTATATATATAATAACATTCTAGCTAATATCCAACTGTAATTACAAGTACAATTTTATTTTACTGACGTTATAGTGCAATTGACATGTTCATTCGTACGCCTTTTGAAGCCATTTTCAGCTATCTTAGATATTATATAAAAAGCGATAATGCAACTATAATTCCCTTTTATTTTAACAGAAAGATGTTCTCTCTGAAGCTAGATTGTCACCGTTTGAAGACTTGATATTGATAAAGGGATAAAATAAGCCACTTCTAGGAATTCGGCGATTACGAACGGACGTCTAGAGGGGTAATGCGCGTTTATATTTACGTCTGAATCAATACAGCAGAAAGTTTCTGAACATCAGATTAGAAATAAGCTTTTAAGATAAATCTGATTACATATAATAATGTTTTGGCATTTTTTTTAATTTCCTTTTTGTTGTATTTTATTTTGTTTTATCTATTTTATTTAACTTTTTCTTAACTTATGAATTAAACATAATGGCTAATAAATGTGATAATATAATGGTTTGTGTCCATAGATGTGTAAAACATATATTAAGCAATAGGTTTAAACAAAATAGAAATGAATAATGTGAATTAACGGTACATTATTGTCCTTGTCGATTCAACCTATTTGGCTGTAAAATTATGATTACTGTCAATTGTAAATATGGGATTTATAAGTGAAATTGTTATATTTACCAATGAATTGTAGCACGGCTTTTAATTACATGTAATTAAAGTCCGTGATTGTATAAATAATTAAACAAGTAGTATCTTTAAAAAAGGGATACTCGGCCGAAGTAAAACTGTTTAACTTGCTGGTTAACTTGCATATGGTATTTCTTAGTTTTCCATGAACATGTTTGTATGTGTTTCTAAACAAACCTGTCGCGTTTCAGTAAATGAACTCAATTTCTAACACAAACATCTACGCAGTAGGTAAGGCAATAATTTGGATAAATACTTGATTAATATGTAAAAAATATATAAACATCATAAACATTATATCAATTAAACACATCAATAATCATATAATATATAAGACACTTAATGAACATCATAAACTAAGGGTACAATAATTTCTGATATTTTTCTCATTATTTTGGACAAAATCTAAAACTCACGTCTTGTGTTAAATAAACTCAGTAAGTTCTTATGTTAAATTAACTGTCCACTAGAACATGTAATGATATCTGAATGCAAGAAGTTTTGTTAAGCAGAACTTAAATATCTGAGCAATTTAACTAGAAAGATAAAGAACTATCCTGTATATTAGAATTTTGTTTTACATTTTTTTCATAATGGCAAGACCTATCCTTCACATTTTAGTTTAAACTATCTTAGAATGACAAGAAGTATCCTTTACATTTTATTTTAGAATGGCCAATGAGATTCCCGGGTTTCATTTTGTAGTTTTAAAATGACCAATGGAAACACTTCTTATATTCAATTCTTCCCTGTAAATTATACAGAAGTCAAACTGAAAACAGACCGGCCTTCGGCCGGAAAAAGCGCAATGCCGGCTTGAAAACATGCTCTATACACACACTTTCTAACGTCTTTAATGTAGTACTCTAGCTGACGGCAACATATTTAACCCGTGCAACCAGTTTTGACCAAGTTCATGTCGTTTGATCATGGTATGGACTGTTTGCTGTTAGGTCAATACATATTTTGAATCTCATTAAAATGATCAATTGTATTTTCCAGATTGAGAGATGAAGAAGTCAATTGAAGATATTTAGCATGGTGAGGATTAAGTAAGGCTTGTGTAAATACTAAGATGAAGACTTTGGGAAATGTTTAAGGTACATTATTTATAACATAGAAACCAGTTAAAATTCAAAGCATATGTTTTGTTTAGTCCCCCGATGAAAAATATCTGAATGATACTTTAGCCGGTACTATTAACTTCTGAATACTAAACTAACATTCTACATTAATTTAATTTATTGCCTTGTTTGAAATAGAATTTCAGAAATATGTTTTTTTAATGTACACAATTTAAGCACTTTTACTTTTAAAAACAGACATACAAAAGAAGTATTTTACAATATAGTTTTCCATACCTATGCTCAATTGCTTTAGTGTATTCATGTTAAGCTAAATTGTTTTGTTTTACTGTTCTCCAGGCCATCTAAAAGTATATTTACATACTTTGAATGAATCTTCTGAAAAAAAAATATCGGAACATATCCGTCACTGTTTAAAAAAGCTTGTAGCTGTTTGATGAATTAGTCGACATGTTTCATTTGCTGTGAATTGACTGAACTGCATTATGTTTTTGAGATTTATCGATTATTAATAATAAAGTCAACTGGAATCACCACGGAAAGATCCAGTTTAATTAACATATGAAATATTTGATATCACTTCACCAAACGTCAAGTGTTCATTACACTGGAAACCCGAGTACAATTACATTTTACAAGAAAAATAAATGGAACACAAAACAAAAACACCATAGGAATATAGGTCACACAATTTGTCAATCAAACATACAGTATTATACATAGTAATATCGGTCAATATATAATTCTTATAATGGCTCCTCAGTGTTTCTATGCATAAAGAAGGTTACATTTTGATTCATGTATATAAGGTCATGAAAATACTTTGACTATTACATTTAAGTATCAACTAACATGATGAACCAATAATCCTGTAAAAATACTTTCCGAAATTTTGACCGCTTACAAGTAACAATTCACTACTTTATAATAAAATATAGAAAACTTCTATCAATCAAATCATCAGGTTAAATAACATTTGCTTTACCTTCAATCGATGTTTGTTTAAGTGTTATTAAATAATATGTATTTTCGAAATAAACAGAAAGCTGAAATACACTTATAGATAGTTCTTGTTAATTAACAAAATTTGTGAATTCGATTACTAAAGGATGTTCAAATATCTATAATTTTTAATACATAAGAGAAGAAATGAATCCGTAAAGAACTCAAAAAACGACGAACTGAATGGACGGAAATAGATTAAATAAAAATTCTTACAAGAGGTTTTAATCAAACAGCATGTTTCTGTTGAATGAGCACAATTTGCATTTTGTTGATATGAAAAGTTATGTCATATTTGATACATTTCACATCAAAATGGGCTATTATTTTTTTAAGAGAACAGAATATAAACAAGTACCAGAAATAAAATGCTTATTTTGAATGAACATCAACATATCTGACTATTGTAATTAAAGGAGATGTTTTGAACGTTTCATTTATAAATTGAGAGATTTTTCATTTATGGATCGTGCCTGGAACAAGACCTTTCTGGTTAAATTTACAAAATACAGAAGAAAGTTTTCCAAATAATTATACATTTGATTGATGTGCGACTTGTTTACATTTCCTCTTTTATCATTAATCAAAGATACTTATTCACTAAGTACGATTGTTGTGTATATTGTACTTAAATTTGCGCAGATTGATCTTTTCTTTAAATTTCTCGCAAAAGTATTAAATTGGCAACTACACTTGTTCTCAATGACCTTTATTGTTTGTATCTATTTGGCGTACTTTAAGGGTAAAGAAAACAGTTCTTTTATAGAATTTTATTATATTGAAGCACGGAATATTTATACATATAGACATGTGACTTGACGAAGTAGGAACATTTGTTTAATAAGACAAACAATAATATTATATACAACCATCTATTCCGAGTATGTAAATAACAGTGTCTACTGTCTGCTTTAGGAATGAATGGAATATATTCTGACATGCACTGAAATATTAATCAAGATATGTAAATTTCTTCTCGCTTTACCAGACGCACTTGAATATAAATATGTGATTTTGTTATATACTTTCTACACAATGTGTGCTATAAAACAGAATCAATAATTCGTACTGGATTAGTTAGTTTAAACATATTTTATTTCGAACATTTTACACATACAAGATTTACATACAATGGTGAAATAATACAATACAATGCTGAAAAAGGATTAGATCCGAAAGCATAAAATGCTTATAAAGGCCTTTCCTGACATAAGATTAATTACCATAAATATGACGGGTTTTGAAAATGTTTGAAATATTAAAGTTTAGGTAAAAAGTAGTTGTTAATACTAGTCGATTACAAAAATGAAGAAGATTCGTTACTGGATTAACGTTTCTATCCTATAATACGGATTTAAATAATAATACAAATAAACACATTCTAAAAGAACTTGTACACTGGAATAGATAGATCGCGGGTCATTGAAGTATATCACATATCATATATTCTATAATGTTAAAGAACAAGCTAATTTTAGCTACTTAATTACATATTTTTATATTTCCGCTTGTGTTTACGAACACATAAAGTATTCAAAAATAAAGTACTAGCGTCCTTATATATTTCCTGTGGTGTTTTAGAACACATTAAGTATTCAGATAAAAGCTTTCACTTAAATTCATGCCACTAAAAGTACAAATTAAAGCTTATTATGTTATGTCCGTCACAATGTTTTAGATTTAAATGATACAAAAAACTTGTTTTCCAAGTATAAGATAGGCACAAGGTAGTGTAAAGAGAAACCCATCGATTCAGCTGTCTTTAATTACTCCTTGATGTTTGCATTTTATATATACGATTGTTGAAATGATATTGTTAAAGAATGTTCTTAAACTAATTAGTAAATAAAAGTTCGAACTGGGAATGATTGATTTTGCATAGCAATAATCAGAAATTGTACTATAAAGGGTCTCAGAATTATCAGGTAGTAAAGAAAACCTTTATTACATTTCAATAAAGGATTTGTTAAAAGTTATTCATGTGACATTAAAAGAAAATTATTTAGTATCATTCCGATTTCTTTATAAATTCGGCGATTTCTTTAATAAATTCGGCAGGAACTAAGAGGATAAGATCCCATTCAATTAACATATGAAATATTTGACATCACTTGACCAAACGTCATGTTTTCATTACAGCGGAAACTCGAGTACAATTTCTCGGTAACATGGATGATAAATGGGACAGAAAAGATTAACAACATAGGAATATAGGTCAAACAATTTGTCAATAAAGCTTTATATACATATATATTAGTTAATTGATACTTTTTATAACGGTCTCTATTAAGAAGGCTTTATCAAGATATATGTATATTGTGTATGCATTTAGAAGAACGCTAAACCTCAAAAAGGAATAATATAAGTCTTTCTCTAGAAAAGGGCAAACAAGTGTTAAGCTTATTTACTGCCATCTTTGTTAAAATATTTTCGGAAAGAGTGTGTAAAATTTACAACCTTGTTTTGCTGACAGGGACTTCTATTGTTATTTTGCTCAGTTTCCTGGTAAATTTTTATCATATACCTTTTCATAAAAGTATAGAATGAAATATTTACCAATTCACACAAATATTTGACTTGACAATGTACGAACGCATTTATTGTATC